CAGGGAGGAGATTTTATGATCCTTGTTGTGTTTCTCTCCCCCTGCAGACCTGAAGGCAAAGATTTCAGCATCCACAGGTTGGTGCTGGGCACCCACACCTCAGATGAGCAGAACCACCTGGTGATTGCCAGTGTGCAGCTGCCCAACGACGATGCCCAGTTTGATGCTTCCCACTATGACAGTGAGAAAGGAGGTAAGAGCCCAAAAAATGGTTCCAATCCCCCTTTCTCCCCTTCTTTTCTCAGCAGAAAATTTGTCTTTTCCTAAAGTTCAGGCAGCAAAGTTCAGATTTTTACTTCTTAAAATAATTTATTTCTAAGTGATGCCTCCTTCATAATAAATTCTCTGTTTGTTGAATGTGTAATCTAATATTTCTAATGATGAAAACAGAGAGTTAATTGCAAAAATATTTGTGTGTGGGAAAACCTCTCCCTTCCCTATTTCTGAGGAGCTGACCTTGAATCCCACACAGTGCTTTTAATTGGTATTTTTATTACCCCCTTTGCATTATATAAAGTCACGTAAAACATTTTTACACAAACTCATGTAAAGAATATTTTTATTTCAGAGAGGTGTAACATTTCAAACATTCTCCATTTCTCTGTGAATTTTGCTGCCTGATTGCTGTCCAGCCCTTCTGGGGTGAAATTATATTTTAATTCTGTTTTATTCCGTGTATCAGACTTGAAGTTGATGCTTTGTAATCTTTGTGGCTGCCCCAAGTCAGACATTTCTCCTGCTTGCTTGGCTGAATCAGTGTTTCCACCTGGTGAAAGTCCTTAATCATCCAATGTTTGCTCTGCTTTTTACAGCAAGGTTGGATTGTGCAATGAGTATTTTGATCTTTGGGCTTCTTAAAGTTGTTTATGCACACAGCATTGTCAAATATGTGTTCCTATTCTATTCCAGTATTTCTCAAAAATATTTTGAATTCATTCTAAAATAACCCAAAACCCCATTGTTTTTGCCTAAATTTTGCAGCTTTATGAATTATTAAGTTATTTTATATCTAAAGAAAAGGGATCTTTAACAAATTGTATCACAATCCTAAAACTGCAATTTGTTTTTACCACAGCTTTGTCTATTCTGGGACATTGGTAGCAAACCTTGAACCAACTCTTTGTGCCTTAATCTGAATCTGACTTTTCTTATTCCCAACTCTGTTTTTTCCTAGAGTTTGGAGGCTTTGGCTCAGTGAGTGGAAAAATTGAGATTGAGATCAAGATCAACCACGAGGGAGAGGTGAACAGAGCCCGTTACATGCCCCAGAACCCCTGCATCATTGCCACCAAGACTCCCTCCAGCGATGTGCTGGTCTTTGATTACACCAAACACCCCTCCAAGCCAGGTCTGTGCTCCCAGAGCAGCAGCTCATCCNCGGTTCGGCCGGGGCGCCTCCGTTCCATGGGTGAGCTCCGCTCCCCTCCCCTCCCGTGGAGTAGCTCCGTTTCCATGGAGATATCCCCCCGTTCCATGGAGGTGTCCCCCGTTTCCATGGGGGTGTCCCCGTTTCCATAGAGGTGTCGCCCGTTCCATAGGAGTGTCCCCAGTTTCCATGGGGGTGTCCCCATTTCCATGGGGGTGTCCCCCCCGTTCCATAGGAGTGTCCTCGTTTGCATAGAGGTGTCCCCCGTTCCATGGAGGTGCCCCCTGTTCCATGGGGTGTCCCCCCCGTTTCCATGGAGGTGTCCCCATTTCCATGGAGGTGCCCCCTGTTTCCATGGGGGTGTCCCCATTTCCATAGTGGTGTCCCCGTTTCCATGGGGGTGTCCCCCCCTGTTTCCATGGAGGTGTCCCCCCTGTTTCCATGGGGGTGTCCCCCCCGTTTCCATAGAGGTGTCCCCCCCATTTCCATGGGGGTGTCCCCAGTTTCCATGGAGGGGTCCCCATTTCCATGGAGGTGCCCCCTGTTCCATGGAGGTGTCCCTGTTTCCATAGAGGTTTCCCCCCCATTTCCATGGAGGTGCCCCCTGTTCCATAGGAGTGTCCCCGTTTCCATAGAGGTGTCCCCCCCGTTTCCATGGGGGTGTCCCCATTTCCATGGAGGTGCCCCCTGTTCCATAGAGGTGTCCCCCCCGTTCCATAGGAGTGTTCCCGTTTCCATAGAGATGTCCCCCGTTTCCATGGAGGTGTCCCCCCCATTTTCATTGAGGTGCCCCCTGTTCCATGGAGGTGTCCCCCCCGTTTCCATGGAGGTGTCCCCAGTTTCCATGGGGGTGTCCCCCCCGTTCCATAGGAGTGTCCTCGTTTCCATAGAGATGTCCCCCGTTCCATGGGGGTGTCCCCCCCGTTTCCATAGAGGTGTCCCCATTTCCATAGGGGTGTCCCCATTTCCATGGAAGTGCCCCCCCGTTTCCATGGGGGTGTCCCCTGTTCCATAGAGGTGTCCCCCGTTCCATGGGGGTGTCCCCCCCGTTTCCATGGGGGTGTCCCCATTTCCATAGAGGTGTCCCCGTTTCCATGGGGGTGTCCCCCCCGTTTCCATAGAGGTGTCCCCCCAGTTTCCATGGGGGTGTCCCCAGTTTCCATGGGGGTGTCCCCAGTTTCCATGGAGGTGCCCCCTGTTCCATAGGAGTGTCCCCATTTCCATAGAGGTGTCCCCCGTTCCATGGGGGTGTCCCCGTTCTGTCCCTGAGCTCTGCCTGTCGCCTTCTCTGCATCAAAGGCTGCTGACAGATGGGCTGAGAAAGTGTTGGAGAGCGACGAGGCAGCAGAAGGAGCCTTGGGAAACTGGATTTTGGGAATAAATAGTTCAAGGCTGCGCCCAGACCGGTCTGTTAACAGCAGCTGTTGGATCTGCTGTGTTTAAACACTGGGGTTTGCCTCCCTGTGCTCTGAGTGTCAGAATTTTATTGTGCTGCTCCAACATCATCATTAAAATCATCCCAGAATGGGTTGGGTGGGAAGGAGCTTTAAACTCATCCCATCCCAGGAACACCTTCCACCATCCCAGGCTGCTCCAAGCCCTGTCCAGCCTGTCCTGGGACACTTTCAAGCCTGAAATTTTTTTCTGAAAAATTTCTGAAATATTTAATATTAATATTAGCCTGAAATAATTAATATTAATTAATATTAATAATTAATTAATATTAATATTATTAGCCTGAAATAATTAATATTAATTCCCAGCCATATATGCAGAAAAAAGGATTAGCACGTACAACAGGGGATTTTTAACCATTTAGAACCAATTTTTAACCATTTGCTCCAGTAGAGCAAATAGCAAACCAAGGTGTGACTGATGCACTTGACTCTACCCCATTGCCTGCCCGCAGTGCTGTGTGCCTGTAAATCCATTTATAAAGAATTAATTGTATATATTTCTTGAAAAAACCACTCCAGCAGCCTTTGATGACGCCGTGGAGGAGCGTGTGATCAACGAGGAGTACAAGATATGGAAGAAGAACACTCCTTTCCTGTATGACCTGGTGATGACCCATGCCCTGGAGTGGCCCAGCCTGACTGCTCAGTGGCTTCCTGATGTCACAAGGTAAAGG